AGGTTTTCCCCCGGTCACTCTGAGGACAAATACACGCAGAGTGCCACATCCTTGCCCCTCAGGCCTGGCACTTCGCAGCTCCCCCTAAACCTTTGCCTATAGCCTAACACCTAACCCTGAAAGGTGAGCTCTCATCCTTAGCCCTGCCCTGATCACTGAAGCTGAAAACCTCACCAGATACCTGAAATCTAAGCCCTACCTACCTCCCTAATCCTTTCCCTCAACACCCCTCATCTTCAACCAAGTCTTTCCCTGTGCTGGCCTAACCCTGGGCAACAGCCCTGGGTGGGGTGCAGCTCAGCAGAAAAGGCCCTGGGGGTCATGGTGGACAACAAGCTGCACATGAGTCAGCGGTGACGGCTGGCAACCCAGAAGGCCAACAGCATCCTGGCTGTTTGAAGAGGAGCATGGCCAGGAGATGAGGGGGAAGGATCCTCCGATCCCATTCAGTGCTTGCTAGACCACATGCCCAGTACTGCACTGAGTTTGGGGCCTCCTGCCCCCAGTACAGGAAGGACATTGATCAACTGGAGCAAGATCAATGAAGAGGCACCAATACAGTCGGGCATGTGTAGATGTGCAGGGGGATGGAGAGCTTCCCACCTGAGGAAAGGCTGAGGGAACACTCTCCAGTATGGAGACGAGAAGGCTTTGGGAAACCTCGTAGGAGCATTTCAGTACCTGTCAGGCAGCTAAGAAAATAGAGCCAGGCTCTTCATCATGGTGGATGGTGGGAAAAGGAGAGGCAAGGGACAAAAATGGAAAGAATATTCAGGCAGGAGATGAGGACCATGAGGTCATAACCATGAGGTCACTTACACACTGGAAGAGGTTATCTTGAGAGGCTCTGCAACCCAGACCCTTGGAGGTTTCCAAGCCTCCTTTCCCCCTACATATGGTCTCCCAATATTGAACAAAAAGCTCTGGCTCAGACAAGAATGAGGCAAAAGCCTATGGCACCAACACGAGCTCTTCCTCCCCTGGCCCTTCACTTCTCTGTGAGAGGTGTCTGCCACCAATCCCACACTTCTTTCTTCCTCAGCCTTTGCAGCTGCATGTGCCTGGCCTGCTCACTTGACTTTGCAACCATCACCTTTGTATTTAAGGCCCAACACATATCTTGTCACGCCCACTGTAAGCTGGCACCCACCCCGCAACTGGAGCCCACCTGGCCACAGGGGCAGGGAGAGGCCAGGCGCACTCTGCTTGAACTGGGCACAGCTTTTTCCTGGGAACGTCCCCAAGGAGCTCTCCTCATGTGTGTCAGGCTGTGGCCTGGCACGGGTGGCACAGGGACAAGGGCTGCTGGGTCAGGGCTGAAGTAGCTCAGCTGGGAGAGCGTTAGACTGAAGATCTAAAGGTCCCTGGTTCAACCATGGGTTTCAGCAATGCTTTTCTCCCTTAGGGTCTTGCAGAGCCCGTCTGCCTTTGTCCATCCTGCCCTGGCCCTCCTCGCTCCTTCCCCTCTTGCCAGAGCACTGCCCGTGTGCTGTAGCTGCACATCTACAGGTTAGAAGGAGCCTTCCTCTTGCACCACAAGCCCCCAGCCTTCCGCTGGGCAGGACTCTCCACTCAGTGTGTCTTTGGGGTGTTCTCCAGCTGGGTCTCCTTCCCTGCTCCACAGGGATCGGGATCTCTCCACTCAGGGGTCTCTGCAAAGACTGTCTCTCTCCTCATGGTCATTCTCACTGGTGCACAGACTGCTCCCCTCCTCACACACATCCTTCACCTCAACCTCAGTTCCCAGACCAGGGCACACTGCCCACGGGGAGGCCATCGTCTCCGCAGTCCCAGGGAGAGGCACTCCTTGCAGCTGAGCAGCACAATTGTCCCATGTTTACTACCACGAAGATACCACCCCTGCATGTGGTCAGGCTCTCAGCCTTGGAGTTAACAGCTGCCCGTGCTCAGCCACCCTGCCACGGAGACCCCAGCCAGTGCTGTCCCAGGGCACTGCTTTGCTGTCAGGACAGGCCTCAGCACTGGAGGAGTGGGGAGGTCCCTGAGCCCAACCCACACCCGCAGCCCCAGGGAGATGGAAGCCTGCTGTCCACCTCACCTCCTGGGATGCTGGTGGGAGGAGTGGTGCAGGGCAAGGCCCAGTGACTAGAGGAGGGGTTATGGGATTTCTGCCCCTGTGTGCCCCCACCACACACCCTGGGATGTCATCAGAGCCTGGGGGCACCTCGCCCTGTTGCACTGCTCCTCCTTGGGAACAGGGAGCCCAAACTCAGAGAAATAAGGCTGCTCTCCCATGGGCTTTCCACATCTGAGCTCTGCCCAGTGTGGGGCAGCGGTGCTGAGGGCTGGGGTCTCACTGCGACCCCCCTCAGGTAGATCCTCAGGAGCTGCAGGAGCAGACACAGATCTGGGGCACAGTGGCAATCCTGCTTTGATGCAGAGAAGGGACCCATCTGGGACGGGCCATCCTGTTAGGTCCCAAAATGCATGAAACAGGTTCTTTCTGCTCAGGGGTGCTGCCCCCTCAAGCACACCCACGCCTGGGGCTTATTTCCTCAAGGAGAAAGAGGCAAACCTCTACCAGGTGCCAGATTATGGGAAAAATATTACACCTGTGGGAGGGCAGAGCTGGTGGGGCAGTCACACCGGACAGGCACTGGGCTCTTCTCCCCAGTTCCCACTTGGGGCACCTGGAGTGTGCAGATCAGTGTCCATACTGTCCAGAGGCCCCCACCATCCCGTGTTCAGAAGATAACACTCCCCTCTTCTTTACTTCACCTTTATACCTTATTTCTCTGAGATGCAGGGCTGGAGCTTATCCCAGTGGGAGTTGTCCAGGCTGTGTTTGCAATGCCCATGGATGTCACGCATCATTGTGGGGGTCTTGCCCTGGGAACACTGCTCTCCCATGGGGGCTGCCAGCAGGAAGGCTCTCAGGTGTGGGGCAGAGGGATGTGTGAACCTCGGCTCCCCCCAGGTGCCCCCAGGGTCAGCCAAGGGGTGGAGGAGCTCCCAGCAGGGAATGGGGCAACACTGCTATAGCAGAAGATGTTGGCAACGTCTGCCTCCTCTCCACTTCTGCTCCATGGCCAGATCCTGCTGTTTGCAGCACTATGGAGCTGCAGCTACTCCCCACAGGCAATCCTGCCACAGACACCCAACACACCTTCCAGCCTGCAGCAGAGAAGCCCATTGGTGAAGAGCCGGTAGGAGTGCGGAGACCCACCAGCGGGAACAGGGAGGGCAGTTGGGCAGTTTGGGCGCCAGGTCCTGCCCAGGTGCCAAACTCTTCTCCCAGCCTGGCTTCTGCACAAAGTTTCTGTGCCGTGGGTGCTGGGGCAGGTGAAACCCCAGCTGAGGGAGAGGGACCGGGACCCTGGCTCAGCTCCCAGCAGCACCTGTTTTAGTGGAGGGACACAAAATCTCCACTGCCATGGAAATGTGCCCACATGAGCATCCTCCCAGATGGGTCCTTCTACAGGCCAGGGGCTGGAGCACAGCTTTTGGCTGCTGCACGCGTCTTGTGGGCAAGCTTTCTCCAACCCCCTGGCCCTCTAACAGCGCTGAGGGAACGGTGCCCTCATCCTCGGTGCTCCCAGCCCTCACGTACCTGCCCACAAGTACTGCCCCGCACACAACCCAAACTGACATACCTGGCAAGGCAGCAGGGGGGCAGGGGTGGGAGCTGCAGGGGAGCAGGAGGAGGGTTTCCCAGGGCTGCTCTGGGTCTGCAAGGCAGGAGGAACAGCCCATGGAGACTGGGGTCCTGGCAGAGCATGAGGAGAGAGAATCCCAGCCACGTGTTTCCCAGGAGGTGGCTCTGCACCCTGTGCCAGGGCAGTGGGGAGCAGAGCTGCCTCCCAAGCATTGTGGGAAGTAATCCGCGGGCCATGATCCCACCTGGGGCTGGCTGGGGTTTTCAGGGACCTGCGGTCACCTTAGTGCTCGCTTCTGTGAGACAAAAGCCCAGGGCTCACCCTGACATGGCAGCTCTGTCGTGGCCTCTGCATGGTGGGATCAGTGTGGCCCAGGCAGGGCCTGGGGGAAAGAGCAGCTGGAACCCTTGGGGGAAGAAATGGGTGCTCCCACTGGGGTGCATCATGGGACCTATCAGAGAGTCACTTTGATTAGAAACTGCCTGTGGGCAGCAGGATGGATGTCTCTCTCACCAAGATTATTCCCCAGGGACCATGGCCTCACGCAGCCCCACAGGCTGACCCTGAGCCTGCTGTCCCTGAGACGTGTCCCTTCCTTGCCATGGTGTCTCTGTTCTCTGCTCCCCCTGACCAGCCTCAGGGAGATGCCCTGACTACCTGGTAGGGAAGCATCAGCTCTGGGTCAAAGCCCCCAGAGGCTTTTAATAAGCAAATATAAGAATGCACAGCATAAAAATGGGAATAAAAACGGAGGAAACTCCCAGCGGTTTCTGCTGCCCATGGCTCAAGGGAGACAGTCCCCTGGTGCTTTCGGCTCTCCCAGCTGCACAGACCTCTCCTCCCTCCCGGCTGCACCCAGCTGTGCAGCAGGGATGGGCTCTCCTGGCCTGGGGCTCAGGGACTGCTGTGCACCAAGCTCCGGTGTCACAGCCTTTGCGTCCTCACAGGGAAGTGCCACAGGCACCTCTTCAGCATCATCATAGCCCATGCTCCCCGGGGACGGGGACGAGGTGTCTCCTTCAGCTCCAGGGACCTCGGCACTTCTCCAGGAGCGCAGGCTGCCCCCTGCAAGCAGCAAGGCCGGACGTTTCAGTTCACTCCATGGGATCTGTACACCACCACCCTCCCTGCTCCTCACCACATTCAGCTCCTTCTCCCACCCCCGGGCCTTTCAAGGAAAACTCCTATGCCAGGTTCCCCCTTCCCATGCAGGTTTGGGTGTCAGTAGGGTAGTGACTTGAGGGGCACCAGGGATGGCACCCTAGGAACAGGCAGCACTCTCTTTCCCTCTCACCTCCAGGTGCAGCCCTGGGCCCTGCTCCCTCCTCTGGCATCCTGGGCATTTCCCACTCTCCCTGCCCAGGCACAGCATCCTCCCCCAGGTCAGGAACCTTCCCTGGCATCATCGTAGCCATCTGCTGTGTCACCTCCAGGCAGGACAAGGACATCTGAAAGGAGAGGGGAGCTGGTGACAGTGAGAAGATCTGTCCTGAAGAGCAGAGGATGGGAGGATGTGCAGGGACACAGAGCGCAGACACTGGGCTTGGCAGAAGCACAAGAGATGCCCATGTCCTCCCCTTCTCCGATGGTGACACTCAGGGACACCTCTGTCCACCCCATGTCTGCAGGGAGATCAACCCCTTCCTGCCTCCGTTACCTGGTGCTGATCCCAGACCTTTCTCCTCCTCACTGACCCCAGGGTGGGGCTGCAGCTGGGTCAGGGACTCCTCTGAATAGGAGCCTGGAGAGATGCACAGCGGGTGTTATGGAGCAAGCCCCACTGACGTGGTTCACGGTCAGCGCTGCTGGGGAAGGGGGACCCACAGAGCTGGGGCTGTGTGGGGAGGAGGGCTGGGAATTCACCCTGCTCCCCCAGGACAAACCCTGTCTCAAAGGAGCTTCCAGAGCTGGCCCAGGACAGCCCCTTCCCTCGCTCCTCGGGTGTCTCATGGGGTGCAGGGGCAGGAAGAGAGGGGCTGTCCAGCTGGGACAGTCAAAGCTGACTGGAGAAAGCTTCTCTCCTGGGATCAGGACCTGGATGCTCTCCCCACAGCTCCCACAGCCCCAGCACCACAGGGACCACAGGCTGGGGGGCTTCAGGGCGTCAGCTCTGGGTTGGGGCCAGAGGAATGGGTCCTGCGGATGTGCCTCCAGGGAAGACCCACACCCACCTGAGCGATCAAACCTGGCTCGTTTCTCCCACGCTGGGCTGTACCCGATCTCCTCGTACACAGCCTCGGGGAAGGGCTCCTGGGCTCTTCTGGAGCCTGGGGACAGAGGCAGGGCTGGCACAGGGACAGGCAGAGGGGCAAATAGACCTCACTGTGCTCCCCCAAAACGGTTCCTTGGGCCACCTCAGGACAGGCCGAACAGCACAGCCCCACTGTGCTATCCAGGCATGTCTACCACATCCCCAGTGAGGGCAACATCGATGTGAAGATCATCTGGGGCAGCGTCACCCTCACATCATTGCTTTGGAGACAGCGCTCATGCCCCTCTGGCCTGTGCGCCATGTCCCCATTGTCTCACCCTGGATCTGTTACCACCCTTCCTCTCCACCTGGAGCTTGCCCCTTCCTGCCCCACGGGTCTATAGTAGGGCCCCTGTCCTGCCAGGGGGTGGGCAGGGCTGGACAGGGGGACAGCCTGGGGGCCTAACACCACAGTGATGGACCCTGCTGCCCCACACTCCTCCTAGCATCTCTCTTGCCCCAGAGCCCCCTCCAGCACTACCGAGAGCACAGCCAGCCTTGGCCATCCCCACTCTGCCATTTCTCTCCTCACCCCATGGCTAACTGCCCCCACCTTGGGGCTCTCGCTACCCCTTGTTGCTGGTGCCCCATGGCCAGTCACTCAATGGGGCAGCACATGTGACAGGTAGCAGCACACAGTCTCACCCTCCCGCTCTGCCTGTGCCCCTTGCTGATACCCCCCGCCGCACCCCACAGCCCTGCCAGGAGGTATCTCCCCCCAGCACCTCTGGGCAAGGACCCACCTCTGCGCCCAGCCCCGGCGCTCAGCACTTGTCCAGCCAGGAGGGCCAGGAGCAGGCAGACAAGGGTCCCCAGGATGATGCACATGATGACGGGCACTGAGACTCTCCCGCTGCTGCTCTGACGGCCTTGGGTGGGATCTGCATGGGAGAGAACTTGGAAGGGGCAGCACCAGTGCTGGCCCCATCACGCAAAGCAGAAGCAGGTGGATGGCCCCAAGGGTGAGTGACAGGGAAGCTTCCACCCTCCTGGGTAAATTACAGCTCTCCCCAACCCCCTGCCACCACTCCAGTATCTCCTCCAGGCAGTTTCACACCCCAGCAAGGAGCCCCTTCCATCCAGCTGTGGGTCACAGCCTGGCCCTGGGGTACCCAGCCTCGGGGGAGGACAAGTTACCTGCTCGGGGTGGGGGTGTTGTCATCCTGGGTGTAGCTGCAGAGGAGGAAAAGGAGAGCTGGGCTGAGACACTGGGTGTGTGGGTATCAGGAAACCTCCTCCCCAACACACCGTGTTTGTGTGTGTGTGTGTGTGTGTGTGTGTGTGTGTGTGTGTCTCTAGATGTCCCTGACACATCCCACCCAAATTGCCCCTCCTGTAGTGCCAGAAAGGGAGGCCGGGGCAGAGCCCAGCACCTCTGCTCTGGGAGGCAGGCAGGATGGCAGAGGCAGCCCAGGGGATAGCCCTGGGGCTGCAGGGCCCCACGGGCAGTGGCCAGAGCACGGCCAGTTACACCGAGGCTGCTCCCTGCCTGGCACCGGGCTCCTGCACTCCACAGGAATGTTCTTTCTCTCGGAAGGTCGGGGGCCATGCCCGGACCACGTGAACAAAAGGCCTTCCCTAGCTTCCCTGCCAATACCCGAGCAAGGGCTCCCAGCCCTGCCACTCACCTGAGCAGCGCACGGCAGCATCTTCCTTGTGCCGGCAAGCCCCGCTGTCCCCGGGCCGGGCCCAGCAGTCCTGCAGGGACGGCTCCGTCCCCCGGCACTCCACCTGCTCCAGCCAGATGGGGCCCGTCCCCATCCCAAACGCAGCCTCATGCAGGGCAGACACCACAGGGCCACAGCCCAGCTGCCTGCACGCCACCTCGGCATCCTGCATGTCCCACGAGTCGTCGCACACCGTCCCCCAGGAGCCACGGTGCCAGACCTCCACTCTGCCCGAGCACTCGTCCTTCGCCTCCCACGGCACGAATCTTCTCCCTGGCTGGAGAAAGGAAAGACCTCCCATGGCACCGGGAGAGCAGGAAGAGCCCTTCCAGACACAGAGGGGACCTCCCTACCTGTGCAGCTCGTGGAGTTGGGGCACGGCACCAGCGGAGTCGGGTGCATTTCTGGCTGTCCCCCTGAAGAAGGAAACACTGTGGTGACGGGGCTGGTTTGGGGGATCATGTAGAAGAGAGCAGGGCTAAGCTCTGCTCAGGCCTCCCTGCACCATCTGGGGCACGGCAGCAACTGAAACCCCATCATCCATGGGACACGTGCAGGACTGTGGGGGGACCCTGATTGCTCAGCCCCAGAAGGTCCCTGGTTCACAGAGCAGCAGTAGCTTGTCTATGGAGGGGAGGCTCTTCTGAAGCCTGTCGGGTCTCTTCTGAGACCTCACCTGGAGATGCCTCTGCTTCCTGCAGGCACTGCTGGCAACCCCCAGTTGCAGGCAACTGCTGCTGGACATGTGTGGCCGCGGTCATGTTTCTGCCACTGGGTCTGGCATGGAAAGTAAAAGCCTCTCCAAGCTCTTTCTCTGTGTTTGGCCATGCCCCGTGGGGAGCAGGAGCTGGGGTGACACTGGTGCCTGGGTGCCTCAGAGTTACCATTGCAGGTGATGCGGATCTCCTCTTCCAGGTATTCACATGACTGTGGGTTCCAGGGTGTGGAGGGACACTGCCAGAAAGAGCTGTTTGTCTCCCCACACTGCACGCGATCCAGCCAGGCAGGGCCAGACACCCTGCCAGAGGGCAGGCGTGTTTCCAGGGATCCTCCGTCCCCGCAGCCCAGCTCCTTGCACGCCAGTGTCACCGTGTTGTCAGTGATGGAGTTAGAGCAAATGCTCCCCCATGTCCCGTTGTAGAAAACCTGCAGGCGCCCGGAGCAGCCGTCGCTGTTCTCCAGCCTCAGGGCCACGAACTCTGGGAAGAAAAGGCCCCAAAGCGGGAACAGGCTGATCTGGGGCTGTGGGAGCCAGGACACCTCTGTACATCCCCCAGGACCTCAGCCAGGCAGGGGCAAGGCCTACCACATCCCCCTTGCACCCAGGGGCAGAGAGAAGTCCCGGATTTACAGCCAGCCCTGCCCTTCCCGCGAACCCTCTGGGGACAGCTGAGCTCCCCAGGGACCCCCCGTGGGACTGAGGGTGTCCGTGCACGGGTGGGCCTCGGGCAGGAGCTCAGAGGCAGCCAGGGGCAGCCTTGGCCATGGCCGGCTCTCCCCGCAGTCCTGCCCTCCCCGGGACCAGGCTCCCACCACAGCTCCTGAGGTGGCACAGACCTGAGCAGATGACTCCCGCATCCTCTTTGTGCCCGCAGTCGTGCTGCCCCCAGGGCCCAGCCGGGCAGTCCCAGAGAGCAGCTTCGGCCCCGGAGCAGTTCACACCATCCAGCCAGATCTGCCCGGAGCCTTCCCCGAAGCGAGCGGAGCCGGCTGCCTCCACTGCCTCTCCGCAGCCCAGCTGGTGGCAAACGACGGCGGCATCAGACAGGTCCCAGCCGTCGTCGCAGACAGTCCCCCAGATGCCCTGGGAGTAGATCTCCACTCTCCCCGCGCAGCGCCCGGCCCCGTTCACCAGCCGGACCCTGCCGGCTCCCTGCAGCGGGTGGAAACCCCAGTCGCTGTCAGGGCCTGCCCGCCTGCAGCAGACCGTCACCTGGGCGCCTGGGCAGTGCCACTCACCCCAGCAAATGACTCCCACGTCCTCCGCAAGCCCTGCCTACCAGCGCACGTGCTGGGCAGGGAGGTGTTGCAGAGAGGTCAGCTTGGCCTCGTGCCCTGCACACCGGACCCCTCGCAGCCCCACGGGAGCCCGTCCCTCGCTCAGGCTTTGGGGGGTTGTAGGCTGTCCCTGCCTCTCCGCACCGCAGCTGCCGGCACACCACGCTGGCCTCCTGCATGTCCCCACTGCTCATCCAGGACTCTGCCCCACGCCCCATCCTGGAAGATCTCCACTCGTCCGTCGCACCGGCTCCCTCCGCCCACCAGCCGCAGGGATCCAAAGCCGGCTGGGCCTGGGGAGAGCAGAGATGCCACGGCCATCGGCGGCACCGGGAGCATGGCACCCTGCAGGGAGCAGGGCGAGGGGGGATTTTCAACCAAACGGGACAAGGTGGAGCTTTGTGCTGACGAGAAGCAAGGGCAAAGCCTGGGCCCTCCCTGCAGCTCACAGCCAGGTCAGCTGCTGCTGGGGGCACCAGCTCCTGCCTGGGTGGGGGGATGAGGCTCTGCAGGGCTCTCTGTGGGGACGGGATGCAGTCGGCTGCAGCCAGAGGGATGGAGCAGAGCCCTGCAGCCCTGTCCTGGGCTCGCTGCACAGTACGAGGACAGAGGAGCCCGGGCCTGGCGGTGGTGCTGGGGCCTAAGCCACTGCCCTGGGGGCAGATGCCTGCCTCCGTTCAGTCCTCAGCTCTCCCAAAGTCGAGCGGTCAGTCGGAGCAGGGAAAGCCCTCCAGACGGTTCCTGGGGAAGCCAGGGTTTCCCCAAGGAGAAATTCAGCCTGATACAGCCATGGAACCCCTGCTTTTAGTGGCTATGTTGCACACAAGTGACAAATGGAGTTCATGCAGCATTTTTCCAGCACTCACCTGAGCAAATGACAGCAGCAGCGTTCCCTTGGGAGCACGGCGAGGCCCCCAGGCTGGTCACTGGGCACTGTTGCAGGAGGGCTTCAGTCCCGTCACAGTGGAATGAGTCTCTCCAGACAGGGCCAGTCTCTCTCCCAAAATGTTCTCCTCCAGGAATGGATTCAGCAAACCCGCAGTTGAGTTGATGACAGAGAACGTGGGCATCCGAGAGATCCCAGCGGGAGGCACAGAGGGTCCCCCAGGTCCCCAGCACCTGGACCTCCACCCTCCCCGCACACACTGTGCTGCCGTTCACCAGTCTGATCCCTGTGTACTCTGGGGACAGATGCGGAGAAAAGAGAGTGGATTAGTGCTTCCTGTACCCTCAGTAGCTGGTGGAGAGGCCAGAGGGACAACAGTGCCCTTGTTCTCCTTCTGCAGTATTGTCATGCTGCAAACAAACCCATCAACCCCTCCTGTCCTCACACCCGGCCCAGCACGGTCCCTGCTCTGTTCCCCAACCCCTACCACAGCCCCGGTGTTCAACAGCCCACCCTGAGTCCTTACCTGTGCAGTTCACAACAGCGCTGTTTGCGTGGGTGCAGGGCTGGTCCCGGGGGGACCCCTGGGGCAGGAGGCGAGGAGGGATTCATTCCCCACACACCGCAGCTCTCCATCCCACATGGGACCCACCCCTTCTCCAACGTGACTTCCTCCAGCGACAGGCAGGGCTGCGCCGCACTGCAACTCCCTGCAGAGCACGTCAGCAGCCTTGGGACCAAAGTGGGAATCACAGACACTTTTCCACAGGTTCCCATCATGGATCTCCACACGTCCTGAGCAGCGGCTTCTTCCCTTCCGACAGACGGAAAAATCCTGGAAATAAATCAACTGGGATGTTCCCAGATCTTGGTGGCATTCCCATGCCCACATCCCACACCACCTCCACTGCAAGCTGTGACCAAAATCACTCACTGCACATTCTCAGAAGAAGCTATTTAAGGAGTGATGGTGTCACAAAGGCATCCATGTCAAGTTACACACTTTCTCTCCACCATCAGAGCTACTCAGGGGTGTGTGTCTATTGCAGACCTCACAGCAGACTCTGCAAACCACGTTGGCAGCTGTTGGGACTAAAGTGTGGGTCACACACCGCTGTACAAAGGGCCTCGTCATGGATCACTATACGTCCTCAGGAGGATCTGTGCCCTTAGAGCAGCCAAACAGATTCTGGACCAACCAATGACCTCTGGGAGTTCCCACAGCCCTCTGGCAGTACCCTGACTACATGCTAGCTGATCTCCAAGGTGGCCACAGGCAAAAAGCCCTACGACATCCTAAGCTGCTCTCAGGGGGTGCTGGTGGCACAAACACATCAGGCCCAGCCCTGCTGCTCCTCAGAAATCAGCACAGCACTTGGGGGTTTGTTTCTCTTCCAACATCCACAGCCACAGGATTCTCTCCAACAAACTGCTGCTGCTGCAGAGACCTTGGGCTGCCCAGTACTGGTCCCTGGGCACTGCAGCCCCCATAGCACTCGGCGTTTGGGGAAATGGGGCCAGGTGCGTTTGGCTGCTGCAGCTTGCTCTGCCCCACTGAGCTCAGCGCCAGGCGTGAGGAGCCCCTTGGTGCCATGAGAAGTGCACCCCATGCCCACAGAGATCTTGAGCTGTTGGGGTGAGGCTGGTGGATGGGACATGTCACAGGACTAAGGGACTGTGAGGATGTACCCATGGTCAGTGGCTGGGCCACCACCCTGCTCAGGAGCCTACCCAGTACAGAGGTTCTCAGCCATGGCCAGAGTGCGCTGCTGGGCATGCATGGCCCTGCCCAGTGGCTGGGCAGAAGGCAGGAGAGTGGACAGAAGAGCAGCCCTGGGCTTACATGTGCTCCTGGTTCAAGGGTGGGCACAGAGGAGAGCCTGTAATTGCTGGCAAATCCCCTGTGGCACAGAGCAGCCAGGGGCTGGGGCAGACAGGAGAGGCTGGGTGGCAGGTCATCACTGCCTGCACGGTGCCATGTCCCCATGAGCAGGCACTCATGGGGTGACCCTGGGAGAGACACAAGGTGCCACGTGCCACCCTGCTCTTCTAGCCAAGCCCAGTGCTCTTCCTCTCTGAGCATCCCCTTTGCTTCAGCCAAGAGACTCGTGTATGCCAGCAGGGGATAACCCAAAAGTAGCTCCCCAGTCTCACGCCCGTCCCCAGGACAGGTGGGTGACCACAGGAGTCACTTCTGGTGCCTCTGGCATGGGGGCAGCTGGCCCGCAGCACCTGCCAGAGCAGCTCCTGGGTGAACAGGAGGAGAAAGATGGCAATCAACAGACCATGCAGGGCAGGGATGGAGGGTTCATCTGCACCAGCTCAGGGACCAGGCATGGTAAGGCACCCTTGGGCAGGTTCCCACTGGCTTTCCCCAGGGCACTGGGGACACCAGTAATGACAGTTCCAGCTCAGCAGTGTGACTGGCCACACTGGGCAATGCTCCGGTGCCTGACTGTTGCTCCTTGAGGCGCAAGCACGGTTCCTTCCACAATCTGAGCCCCAGAGGTATGGAATAGGTTGTCCTCTTACCTGAACACACCACTCCAGCATCATAAGCATGACCACAGTCATGTTCACCCCATCCTCCGTGTGTGCAGTCAGACAGGGCAGATTCGGTGCCATTACAGCCAACATCATCCATCCAAATGGGGCCAGATCCTGGCCCAAAGTGTCCGTACTGAGGAGCTCCAACAGCAGACCCACAGTCCCAGCTGTTTACAAACCACTGCTGCATCCTTCATGCTCCAGGAGTCACCACACACGGTCCCCCACTTGCCCTGTTGTTTCACCTCCACTCTCCCAGCACAGCGCCTGCCGCCGTCCGCCAGCCTCACCTCCACAGCACCTTCAAACACTGACACAGGACCAGTCAGGACAGCGCTCAGCCCCAGCACCACGGGTCTGGGGAAGCCCTGTGCAGGTGGAGTCAGAGGCACCAGGGTGGGAGCCCACTCCCCTCCAGGCTGTCCCCAGGGCAAGTTCAGGAGTCCCTTCTCTCCTCATGGGCTGTGCAAGGCTAGGGGTGCCCAGCTCCAGCCCTGCTGGGTCATTTGTGGCACCACACACTTTGGCACTTCCATCCACCCAACAGCCCCTCGTCCCCTGATCCTGTGCTCACCCAGGGCACCTGCTCCTCCCCAGACAGCACCCTGAAAAGGGACCTGTCCCCACCAGGGCTCCCCCAGGATCACACGGCTACTCCTCCCCAGAGCCCCCAGCTCCCCTGGACCACAGCCTGCCCTGGGCCCCTCCCAACTCACCCTCCTCCCTCAGGACTTTCCGTGTCCCCTGTGGAGCAACATGATGGTCCCAGTGAGGCCTCCCAACCCATGCCCCCTCCTTGTCCTTGGGCATCAGCCCAGACCCTGACCTTGTCTGGGATCCCCGCAGGAAGGTCACCCCTTTGCGAGCCTCTGGGAACAGATTCCCCAGTTCCCTTGTCTCCACAAGCACAACCCACCCCCGGTCAGGCCCGGGATCACTCTGACTCCAGGACAAGAGTGAAGAGCCCACACCCCTTCCCGGGTACCCCGGAGGCTGGCTGTGCCTCTGGGATGACAGAACAAAGAGCCACCAGTTAAGGCACCACCAGCTCACAGGGAACAGAGCTGGCAGAGCCAGGGCCCCAGGGACGGTGCCCAAGGATGACAAATCCACACCCGGGTACCAACGGCCAGAAACGTGGGAGCCCTGGAAGCAGAAAAGCCCTTCTGCCACGCAGAGAAGCACAGGCTCAGTGAACCTGTTCACTTTCTAGCCCTTGTCACATCGACACATGGGAAGAAGCCCCGTTTCCAGAGGGATCCCTGTGCTGCTCCTTGGCCCCAGGGCTTTGTGGCAGGGCAGCAGGCATTTCCCCCTGCACAACTGCACCCAGAGGAGCAGCTACAGTAACTAAGGGGACAGAGGGACTCTGTCCCCATCCTGAACCTTTCGGCAGCCGTGCACCAAATGCAGGAGGACGGAACAGAAGCGAGACATTGGCT